TGTAAGAATCTCCACCACTACTTTTTTGTCTCCCAACTTGAACGATGTTTCCAAATGTTATACTTCATTTCCAACATAAAGGTTAGTGTGTTATCAAATCTCACACCCCTAAATCATGTTGTGCATGGGTTAGTCCAGGCATATGTAACTATTTTGTAATGATGGGGACTATACATTCATAGTTTCAACAAGACATGGGTTCGAAACTTGGAGGTTTTTACATCTTTTTCTTTTTTTTCTTTCTAAACCCATTGTTATGGTTTTAACTCATCGTCTGAAGGACCTTTTGAAACCCATAATTCAACACCTTGTATATGCTGATAACAATATACAAGCATAGGGAAAATCATGTGGAGATGACAAATGTGCATGTCATGTGCATATTGTGTACAATTTCTTTCATATTGAACTAAGACTTGTAATTCACAAACACTTCCAAACAAATACCCATTCTAGATCAAATTCACAAAAATTTGTAGGTTCATAACAAAATTAACAAATATTGAGTATTCTGTAACAAACCCACAAAGCCAAATTCACCAACACAACTCCATGAATCTTCAATACCCTAAACAAAAATTAAAACGCAAACTTCTAAGATTGAAACCCATAATCTAAAATAACAAAACCCATAAACAAATAAAGATTTCCAGAACACATTTTGAGCTCTCTCTTCCCCATCCCTCTTTTGTTTGACTTCCCATCTCTGCAAATCCAAAAACCTAATTGAACAAACAAGTAATTAGCTGCAGAAATAAAGACAATGACCGAGTTAGAGAGAGAAAGAGATGAGAGAGAGAGAGAGAGAGAGAGAGAGAGAGAGAGAGAGAGAGAAAGAGAGACGAACCGGATGACTGTGGAAATATGGTTGTCGAAGCTTCACTGGCCGGAAAGAATGGAACTTTCCGGCCAAAACGCAAAAATCTGGTACAAGAATCATATCTTCAAGGATGGAACTTCGAAGCTTCACTCTTGACTTCCTTCTTTTCAAAATCACAGCTTAGAGATCTGAGCTCAACCTAGGAACCCAAAGCTCTCTTGGCCTATCTCTCTTCCAAATGATAAAAATGATGAAATGAGCTAAGGGTTTTTAGTATTTATATGTGGGCATTTTAGTAATTTCGATTTTGTGCATGGTGTGCATGGCTTATGTATAACCGGTTTATACTATTTATGTACCAAGATTACATAATTATCTCATTTTGGGGTTTTCCCAAATAATTTTCAGACACAACTTTTTTCCTGCACTTTTTTATTTCTGGATTTTTTTAATGTGGAGAAAAAGAATAATAGTGTAGGAAATCACTTTCCCACCATAAAGATTCACATATTGTTGTAAATACGGTGATATTATAATGCAGTGCTGGTGGAATATAAATCATGGGTATGTGATTAGACAGCAAGCAAGCACATGTTCTTTGCCTTAATAATGAACTGTGTCTAGGAATTTGGCACCTACCAAAGTTGTGATATAGTGGGTTCATGCTTTTCGCCAATTGGTAGTGGGTGAAGTTAGGTTAGGTTTGCCATCTTTCACATACATATGTACTCCTGCACTAAACCACTGCAGCAAAAGTGGCACTCGAGGTTGAGACATACTACCCTCATGGAAATGATTCCAACCCTCCCTTTACGAAGAAAGCTTAGGTAGGCATTGAACTAGTTTTGATTTGGTCATGTTGATCAAGAGTTGGAGTTCAAATTTGTGGGGGCTAAGTAGAGAAGTGGGGGTTAGTGTGATTTATGATGGTTTTCCTTTTCCACTTATGTAATAGACTTTTCTAGAATTATATGCATATCTGTACTGTTTTTATTCTTCTTCTTCTTTGTACTCACTTCTTCCTTTGACGATGCCAATATTGCACTAAACTTCATTCCAATAATGCATATCTGATCAGGCCTTAATGTTAAATACTTAAATAACCAAAAATTATCCTATTAAAGAAATTTAAACACACAACTGCTTCATTTTTAAGGGATAAAAATAAAAAGAAAATGAAATTTCAAACCAAACAAAAATTCGATACTGAATTAGGGTAAAATGAAAAAAAACAAAAGTCTCTTGACATGCGCTCACGCACGTTGAGAGATCAATATTAATAAAAGCAAAGATGAGAGACAATGTATTTGGAAAGTTTTGAATAAGAGGCTGTTAGAGTCTTCTTCCAATTGTTTTTTCTCTCTTATCCATTCATATTTTCTCTCACAACACACTTGTTCTTTAGGTCAATCACGTGACTCAAGCCAATTACCTATGTCATATGCAGATATTTATATAGGCATGTGAGAAAGCGATGACCCAATGCTCACAAATTTGTCATTACACTATTAGTTATACTATATAAATGGTCATATTATTAGGTGAAGGTACCACAATATCATAGTAGTTGCAGAGTAACAATTTTGTTTCTGCTTTTATGATCTTACAAAAGAATATGGAATACTAAACCTACCGGCGCTCCTAACCCTACCCAAAAGCATAGTTATAGGGATATCATGATCTGATCGCCAAATAAAAAAAAGGGCATGGTACGTATAATTGGAAATATTTGTATTTCTTTGATCTAAAAGATGCTTACAAGTGAGGTGAATTTTCATGGTGGTTATGTTGTTTCTCTTCAACTCAATGTGTCTTGGGTTTAAACCTTTTCATCCTATAAATTGCAATTTAGTGTAGTAGTATCGTTTGTACTAAAAGAAGACCTCATAAAGCCAAGAGGGCAAAACAAGAGTGCTTTTTACAAAAAGCAATCACCAAATCAAAAAAGACAACTTTAATGAAAAGCTTCTGGTATTATTCACTTTAACAAAAAACCACATTTTTACAATAAAAAAAATCAATCCTAGTACTATTCATTTTACTCTTTATTTTGTCTTTATCATTAAAACTTAACGTTTTCAAATATTTTTCATTAGTATGGGCACGGTACGTATAAGTGGAAATATTTGTATTTCTTTGATCTAAAAGATGATGGTGGCTATGTTATTTCTCTTCAGCATGTGTGTTGGGTTTAAACCTTTCCGTCCTATAATTTGTAATTTAGTGTTGTACTATTGTTTGTACTAGAAAAAAACCTCATAAAGCCAAGAGGGCAAAACAAGTGTGCTCTTCACAAAAAGTGATCACCAAATCAAAAAAGGGCGTGGTACGTATAATTGGAAATATTTGTATTTCTTTGATCTAAAAGATGCTTACAAGTAGGGTGAATTGTCATGCTGGTTATGTTGTTTCGCTTCAACTCAATGTTTCTTGGGTTTAAACTTTTCCGTCCTATAATTTGCAATTTAATGTAATAATATCGTTTGTACCAAAAAAAAGACCTCATAAGACCAGGACGGCAAAACAAGAGTGCTCTTAACAAAAAGTGATCTTCAGACATGAAGGAGAAAAGGTGGCCTTTGGTACTAATGGGCACGCTTTTATGTTGCCAAAGCCAATAGCAACGATACTTCATTTAGTTGTACACTAAAGTTAATAGACTGGAAAACGATTTGAAAGTGGTTGTCTTGGTCTCGAGTTAGCCACTTTCAAGTTGTTGTCCGGCCAAACCACGGTGAATTAACCGTCAAGAAAGGTATCATTCTCTTCGTCGTGTCGAGAAGTATAATTTTCGTATTTGAATCACTCGATTTTGTTGAAGATTGAAGAAGTTATGAATGTTTAAAGTTTACCCAGATTTTAGCGAGTTTTCCAGTTTTCGCGTGAACCAGTCACCTTTTAGGATATTTTTCGGCCATCTCGGGCAACCATTGGGCTTCCAAATAGGTATAATCTTGTTCTACACTTTCCTATCTTCATTTTGATATATTATGAGTTACGAAGCTTTGAAAATTCCCCAAACTTGCGACCAAGAGCTGCTGGACATATAACGGAGTTTTTAACAGAATGACCAAAATAATGGATGATGGACAATCTCAAGGACCATTTCTATTGATTTTCAATCTCAATTACCAAAGTGATGTGTTATGCAAATTTCATGGACCATTTTGGTTAAAAATCCTTTTCCTTTTCTGCAGTTGTCCATACTCATCAGATGGCGAACTATATGGAGAACCAGTGAAAAATGTTGACTGCCAATATAATGGAGAATTAATTAATCGCTTTACAACTGGGACCTCATTCTATAATAAAATCAACTCAGGTTGCTTGAGAGTTTCATATTAACCAGGGATGTGTGCCATGGCTCCATTAACCATTGTAAACTGCTTTCTTTCTTCTGGTTGTTTAATTGGCTTGGCCACCTTTGCCTGTTCCTTTTTTCTTGGGTTAAATAGTTTCTTCTTTCTAATGATGTTACCATTCGACCAAAAAAATTATTATATAAAATCACTAATTCGGTTTAGGACCTCAAACTAGTAGACCACAACTAAACCAAACTAGTCTCTCAAGTGAGCGATTTGGTTTTGAGATCAATTTCCTTATAAGCAATTAAGGAAAAGAGTGACCATTCTTATTAGATAATGATCACAATTTCATACGGCACGCCGGAGGTCACACCGATCACTGGAAGTTACTTTTCACTTTGATTTGGTTCAACCCAAGACTTTTGGAAGTTGAAACGAAACCAATCGCACATACTAGTTTAGTTAGTTAAGTTTAGTTAACGCAATTATTATCTTAGTTTTGGCGTGTAGTGAATGAACTCTGTAGACGCCTTTAATTAGGGAACCATATCCAACAGATTTTGCTACTTTGTGGATTCTTATTCGATGTAATCAGTTAGTAGCGTGATTCTTACAAAGTAGAGATATTGGGACCGGATTGGATAGTTAAGAACTGACCATATTATTATGTTCTTGAACAAAAACACATTAATCCTATCCCATATCCACTGACAAATGAAAATGGACTTACATGGTACAAATACACTGTCACGGTGGTGTCCTCATGTCATTTGAGTTGTCTTTACACAAATGAAAAGTGGTGTTTCCTTTTCCTAAGCAAGAATACCTCGACCAATGGATAAAATCTATATAAACAGAACTCCACTTGTAGCTCAAGCAATATGTACTTCTCTCTTTGATAAGTGATCTCTCTATTTCTCTCCATGATAAGTGGTCTTTCTATTCCTGTCTAATATATAACTGATCTCTCTCTCTCTCTCTCTCTCCATTTATTTATCTATCTCTATTCATTTTATACACATCTATCATTAAAGATGGAGATGACTGACCGGAGAGCTGACGATAAGACCATCACCGGCGAAGCCCAAAACACGTGTATTGCAGACTTTGATCCACCAAAGAAAGCCAAGACAAAGAAGTTTGCCATTGCTTGTGGCATTTTGGCTTCAATGACTTCAATCTTACTGGGTTATGGTAATATATATTGTCTAATATTGGTCTGTTGTTCCTTAAAAGCATATATCTTATGAAAACAAGATACAAGAGAAGAGTGCATACTGACTAATTCGGAATGCCGACAACAGTTGTACTTTTTTTTTTTCTACTTTATAAAACACTTCAGGAGAAGATTTAAAGTTTTTTTTTCTCGAAATTTGAAGTATTCTAATTGAAAGAAAAAGAAAAAGTGGTTTTCTACTTTGAAAGAAAGTTATCTTCATATAGAATGCATGTTTGTTCCACTTTTATGTACAGATATTGGTGTAATGAGTGGAGCGTCACTCTTTATTAAAGAAAACCTCAAAATCAGCGACGTTCAAGTCGAAATTCTTAACGGTACTTTGAACCTCTACTCCCTCATTGGCTCCGCCTTGGCCGGTAGAACCTCCGACTGGATTGGACGCCGGTACACCATAGTACTTGCGGGAACAATTTTCTTCATTGGAGCTATCCTCATGGGCCTTGCTCCCAACTATGCCTTCCTCATGTTCGGCCGATTTGTTGCCGGAGTTGGAGTTGGCTACGCTCTTATGATAGCTCCTGTCTACACTGCCGAGATCTCTCCGGCCTCGTTTCGTGGCTTCCTCACATCTTTTCCTGAGGTTTGTCACGATACCATGTTATGTTATCATATAATAAACTATAAGAAGCTTTTGTCAAAAAATCAGCAGAAACAATATACATAGTAACTTTCGTTTTAATAAAATTACATTACAATCGTTAAAAGGTTTATTGTCCAACATTGTTTGTTACTCATAAATGCCTGTCATAGTATAGATGTAAGTTATTATTAATAAACGTCATGAAATTATTCGTTATCGTTATTCATTTTTGGGCTCTTTGCCTTCATGTTTAATTGTTTTGCAACATGAAATTAACGTTACACGTCTGAATTAAAAGAAAGGTGAGATTAAACTATAATCGTCAAAGTTAACACTCCAATGTTATATAATAATGTTCAGGTTATAGTAAAAAAAAATATAATGATAGCATAGAAATATCACTCTTTGTATTAATTTGTGTAATATATTACATATAGAGGGTTACATAAATCCCTATTTATATAGGAATTTTACAATAAGTACAATTAGAAATTATATTCCTATAATACATGCAATAATTATAGAGATGATTCCGGATTAATTTCTCTTAACTTAACACATAGTTGTTACTGTAATGAGTTTGATTTTTAGAAAACTAGATTTAGACCCTTAAATAAGATGAAGTTTACAAAAATGTCTTGTACAAGATTAAAAATTAATTTTAGTCCCTAGACTATTTAATGCCAAGATATGCATTCAATGTCTCTTTGATTATGAAAAATATTGTAAATTTTAACACTTATTTGAAATTCAAATAAATTAGAGCTCGTTTGGATGTATTTTTAAAATAACTGAAAATGTTTTTGGTGGAAATATTTTTGGAAGCAATTCTTAGTAAAAATGTTAGTAAATTCTTGAAAAGTATTTAAAGTGCTTCCTGAAAAAAGCACATAACTTGTGCTTCTTGGAGAAAGCACTTAAAGTGCTTTTGGAACCCAAAAACATTTTATTTAAAAGCATTTTCAGTCATTTTAAAAGCACATCCAAATGAGGCCCTTAGTTTTTTTTTTTTTTTTTGTCAAATGATAAATTGTGTTGGATTAGATGTTAGATTAGCCACCGACAAGATTTGAACTCACGCCGTCATACAAAAACTCAATAAATTTTCACAATTGTGGTAAAAGGCCACTTGCAAACCTTAGTTTTTATTTGTTGACCTTTTCCATCACCAATTTATGGTAAATATCTTATATAAGAAAACATTTTGGTAGGGACTTTTTGGTACACTTATGTTTTTGCATATTTTCTTATATGCCACTAATTCATTACAATATATTTAGGTACAAACATTTTAGTACACTAGTTTAGTATAATATGTTTAGGTACGGATATTTCGGTACCTTAGTTTAGTATAATATATTTAGATACGGACATTTTGGTACACTAGTTAGTATAATATGTTTAGATACGGATTTTTCGGTACACTTAAGTTTTTGCTTATTTTCTTATGTGTCACCCATTCATTATAATATATTTAGGTACCAACATTTCGGTACGCTAGTTTAGTAAAATATATTATAATACAGACGTTTAGCTATACTAATTACACGAAGGTAAACATTAAAACATTAAATAAGACATCTATTAAATATTCAAACAAAAATATAATATGAATTTGAATTAAGTACACATTAAAGAACTAAAATCAATATGTAATCTAACACCAGATTTTTATTAAGGATTATGCTAGGGAGACCAAAATTTAAATAAAAATTTCAAATTAAATGATGTGTCACCAATATGAAATAAGCACATTAATCAACTCTTAAATAATAATCTATATCATTTAGTTTACAAAATTTGGTTCCAAAATTTGGTCTCCATAGTATACCCTTTTATTAAAGTTTAATCTTAAAGAATTAAAGTTCAAAAACCCCTTTGATTTTTATGTTGTGAACATCATACTACTGTTAAAAGGTAAAATTTATGTTTGCTGTGAGGTTGGACAGATAAAAAAGTTCAGACCTAAAACATATCATTCGATTTTTTTTTTCGAAGATTTACTTCATATTATGGATTTGATTTGTTTTAAAAATATGTAGGTGTTTGTTAATATTGGCATATTACTGGGGTACGTATCCAACTATGCCTTCTCCAAGCTCCCCATTCACTTGAACTGGAGGGTCATGCTCGGCGTCGGCGCGTTTCCATCTGTTGTTCTTGCCATCGGTGTCTTAGCCATGCCCGAGTCGCCTCGTTGGCTCGTCATGCAAGGGCGACTTGGAGACGCCAAGCGAGTTCTACAAAAGACATCAGAATCCATAGAAGAGTGTCAGCTCAGACTAGATGACATCAAAGGAGCCGCAGGAATTCCCAAACAGTCCAACGACGACATTGTTCAGGTTTCTAAACGCAGCCATGGTGAAGGCGTGTGGAAAGAATTGCTCGTTCATCCCACGCCAGCCGTTCGCCATATTTTAATCGCAGCTCTTGGTATCCACTTCTTTGAACAATCGTCAGGTATAGACTCTGTCGTTTTGTACAGCCCCAGGATCTTCGAAAAGGCAGGAATCACCTCCTACGATCAGAAGCTACTCGCAACGGTGGCTGTTGGAGTTGTCAAGACCATTTGCATCTTAGTCGCCACGGTTTTCCTTGATAAGTTTGGACGGCGTCCTTTGCTTTTGACTAGCGTGGCTGGAATGGTACTTTCACTTACCTGTCTCGGTGCAGGCCTTACAATCGTCGATCAACACCACGGAAAGATCACGTGGGCCATCGTGTTGTGCATCACCATGGTATTACTTAACGTTGCGTTTTTCTCCATCGGACTGGGGCCGATCACATGGGTCTACAGCTCCGAGATCTTTCCGTTGCAGCTGCGCGCGCAAGGGTGTAGTATGGGAGTGGCCGTAAATAGGGTGACGAGCGGGGTCATCTCCATGACTTTTATTTCATTGTATAAGGCCATCACGATTGGGGGAGCCTTCTTTCTTTACGCGGGAATTGCTGCGCTTGGTTGGGTGTTCTTTTATACGTTGTACCCAGAAACACAGGGCCGAACTCTTGAGGATATGGAAGTCTTGTTTGGTAAATACCATAAGTGGAGAGAAGCCAATGCCATGCTTAAGAAGACTAAGCAAGTTGATGGTGAAGACAACAAGGGTCAAATCCACTAGGGATAGAAGGGCAAATGCTCAATAATCAGTGTTTGATGCACTTGATGATGGTTTCCTGATTCGAATTTCTTTCTTTCGAAACCTCTTTGCATATTTCAGTTTTATATGTGTAATTGTTGCGAACATCTTCTTATCTTCTTTTTCAAGTTGGAATAACTTGTGCGGAAGGAAGAAACTAAGTTTGTTAGATATGTTTATACAAGTTTGATCTTCAGTTTGACCCTTACCATTGAAAATAGCTTACGAACGCAAGTTTAAGCAACCAATAATATGATACACACATATGCATTATACACATATGTATATATTTTGACTTGTTTATTTCTAACAAACATTTCTTGAGGACAAGATTAATATTTGCACATTTTCACTTTTAATATACAGCTGTAAAACAGTGAGACTACAACAGAACTGGTCTTTTATCAAATACAATGTACTCTAGTAATTGTGAATAATTTAAGCAAGACACGCCGTAAATGCTCTTCAAGGCATGCCTTGCACGCCTTAATTGGTATCAGTACGGCATTTATGAGTGTTGTAATACTAACAATAATGGCACATGTGTGCCGTAATTTATATTTGGTACAACGTTTGTTGAATGTCATAATACTATGAAGGCAATTACGACATAGATAGTACATCGTAAAAGTAGACTATTAATTACACCTAATTTTGCATGCTATATTTTATTTTGATTAATTTTGATGAATGTACCCATGTTTGCGCGCGCGCACACCACACAATAGTATATTTACACACACACACGCTAATTTTGGTTAATTTTGATGAATGTACCCTTGTTTACACACACACACACTCAATACTATATTTATATTTTAATATTTTTAATCCCATAAATTATGGTTTTTTATTTAAAATCTCATTAATATAAACAACTATAAATTTCAATTTCTAATTTAAAAAATATAGTAACATATATAGAAATAAATTATCACATTAATTTCAGGGATTTCGATCAAAAATTGAAAACCAACAAGATTTCAATCAAAGAATATTCATAGTTAGGGACCGCATCCAATGTCTCCCTATATATATATTTTTTTTTTTTTTTTTCACAATTCATTTTAGATAGACCTCACTTCACAACATCTAAATTAATATTACAAGGAATACAATAGAAAGATAACAATAATCATCATAAACACATTAAACTCCAAATACTTGAATCAATATAGAAATTGTCGATTACAATACAATTCGAAATTTTGACACAAACAAAAAATATGAATTGTTTTGTTCCTGTTACAACTTATGCACATCTTAAAGTTGATAGAGGAATCTAATGATGACTACAAAGTTGCATCATACTAAAAATAAATAAATAAATAAACAAAGCAATCTCCCAAGCATATCTTCCATATCAAACCACGCCGCAATTGAACGCGAGACCTGTCAAAGAAATTCGCCACAAACATCTCAAAAACATCCCATTCACGAAATACAAAGAAATTTGTACAAAATCCTTACCAAGCCATTAGGAGATTTTCGTCTAATTCGTTATGTACATTAACAACATTGTTGTTTGTAGTACCAGTGATAGGACCTGGAAACTTCACATTAACTGCTATAACCTGCAATCAAAATTCTAATAAAAACAAGTAAAGTCAAATTCTGATATACTTCAAACATTGCTCAAACTCCTAAAACTTAAGGATACAACACACGGTCTAAAATCTACATTAATCATCCTAACATAAACAAAACGGTTAATCTCTATTTACTATCTTGAAGTTTTGTGGTTTTCAACATTTGGTACATGAAGTTTGTTGATGCACAAAATCAGTGAGGACTTTGGTACAACAGAAATTGTTAAGTTTGTGACCTTCGCTAGATTGCTCCGATCACTAATGTAGATAAATATGTAAATGGATAGGGACATGGATGCAAACACAAGATGTACGTGGTTCACCCAGATTGGCTACATCCACGGAGTAGAGGAGTTCTCATTAATTGTGAAGGGTTTACACAAGTACATAGGTTCAAGTTCTCCTTTTGTGAGTACTAGTGAATGATTTAGTACAAATGATATTAGGAAATATTGTGAGAGAATGATCTCTATTTATAGAAGAGACTTTCTAGTTTCATTTTGACATTGACACGTGTTGTGTTATGATTGGCTTCTGATGTTGACACGTGTCGCGCTATGATTGGCTTCTGATGTCGACACGTGTCGCGATGTGATTGGCCTCCTGGTTTGAAGGAAACTCTTCTAGGTCCTTGACAGTATAACGTTGACCGGTGCTTAGTAGTTTTAGGATTGGTCAAGTATGGTACAAACAGTGCTCCCCTAAGTTCCTGAGTAAGGGAAGCTCCACGGTTGGGGACTTGCAAGATCCAAGCCATTGAGTAATCACGAAACTTCTAAGTACCAAAGTGTGGTATCATTTTCACTTGCCTTATCTGTCTCATATTTAGATGTGGCATCTTCTCTGGAAGTACTTTTCCTCCATCTAGGGGTGGTATATTTAACCGATGAAGATGCACAAGGTAACGTATCAATTTCACTTGAAGCTTACTTGTAGTTTCGGGCTTGGTCAAGTGCGATACAAACCCAATAGTAGGAGTCCCCCAAGTCGCCGAGCTAGGAGATTTGCCAAATGAGGTAACAGCCAAGGTAAGCAATCAGACTTCCAAGCAAGCAACCTGGATCGAAGGTTTGACTTCGGCTTCCGGTTGATTGTTCTCATTCTCCTTGTGTTGTAAATAGCAACAAGGATAAGGAGAAGCAAATAGAGAAGATATGATATGAGATACTTTTGCTTTTGAAGAAGTAACTTTCCACAGGCTTATTCTTGAACTGGGCTGGAGGGTTTTCTGGTTTCTTCCAGAGTATAAGGCTTACTCAAGAATTTGAGGGTCAAAACAAGTCCATCAAATCTAGAGTACGTTCGACCTTGATGATATGGGATACTTTTGCTGTTGAAGAAGTAGTGGATGTATCGGCACGTGTTCTGTTACGCTTATCTCCACATGCTTCCTTGTATCTTTCTCACTTTCTCTATCTGTTCTTCAGGCAGATGTGGTATCTTCTCTGGAAGCATAAGATGTTGAAGATGAGTACTCGAAAGCAATGCTAGGTAAGTGGTCAGGCAAAAGGTTCCAGGCAGTCAATTCCTGACTGGAAGCTTGATTCCAAGTGCTGATTGATTGCTCTCTTGTCTTGCATGTGAAAACAAGGCCACAGGAAAAGATAGGGAAAAAGCATGATATGGGATACTCTTGCTTTTAACCCTGATGATATGAGATACTCTTGCTCTGGTGTGGCTTGTTTGTAGAGGTATTATTGGGGGGGAAGCTGAGTATTTCGAGAGACTCTGCTGAGAGTGCCCTCTCGGATGTGAAGAAAAGTTGAGCATTTTTTTTATTTGCAGGTTTGCCTGGCTATGAAGGATGAAGGTCAACATATACAGGAATGGTCCCAACAGCGAGTGGTAACGCTGTTCCTTTACCCTTCTCGGTCATAGCAATGTAGTGGGAGTTGTAAGATTCACGTGTTTTAACTTTGTCAGAGCACTTTGAAAAGTGGTCTGTGGTATCTGGAAAGCTGATGTTGCGTGTGAAGATTGCAAACAAGCTTTATCCAAGGAAATCTAGCTCTCGAAGTTCGGAGAGCGGTGCCTCTTTAGTTTTCAAACAAGCAATCCTGTCAGGGATCTGGCTCTCGAGATTCGGAGAACGGTGCCTCTTCGATTTTTGAGAAAGCAATCATGTTGGGAGTCTGGCTCTTGAGATTCGAAGAGCGGTACCTCTTCGATTTTTGAGTAAATAATCCTGTTGGGAGTATGGCTTTCATGATTCGGAGAGATGTGCCTATTCGATTTTTGAGCAAGTAATCTTGTTTGGAGTCTGGCCCTCGAGATTCGAAGGGTGGTGCCTCTTTGATTTTTAAGCAAGTAATCTTGTTGGGAGTCTGGCTCTCGAGATTCGGAGGGTAGTGCATCTTTGATTTTTGAGCAAGTAATTCTGTTAGGAGTCTGGCTCTCGAGATTCGGATAGCAGTGCCTCTTCGATTTTTGAGAAAACAATCCTGGTGGGAGTTTGGCTCCCAAGATTCGGGGAGCGGTGCCTCTTCGATTTTTGAGCAAGTAATCCTGTTGTGAGTGTTTTCTCAATGTGAGTAAAGGTTAGGCATTTTTGCCAGTCTACCTTGCCATGAAGCACGGAGGTTGACACCCACAGGGACTTTCCAGTTATCAAGCAGTGGTGCTGTTCCTTTACCCTTGTGGGTAATGGTAGGGTAGCTGAACCTTCAAAATTTATGTGACTAAACTTTGTCAAAGATCTTTGGCAAAGTTATATGTGGTACCTGAGGAGCTGCTGTTGCGTGTGGAAAATAGTGCCTTTTCGAAATCCGAAGAGTGGTGCCTCTTCGAATTTTGAACCAATGGCCCTGTTGCCACTTTTATAAGGGCACCAATTATGTGCAAGAAGTACATTCAGAGATTTATTGCACCTCATTTCTCCTTCATCATTTATGAGATTGTTTGGCCTATCCGACCGTCGTTTTGACTTGAATTTTGGTGAAGAGGTAGCCATGCCTTCTTAAGACAACATATGGCGCCCATCCTTCTTATCCCCTACTGGTCCTTTTACTGCTAGGGACTCTGTGATGAAGAATGATATGACCGTTGCGGTGGTGGCCAGAAACCTTTTCACTCCCAAAGATAACATACTACTTTCCAAACAGTTTGATAAGTTGGTTGTTAAGGATTCTCTAGCTCTCAGTGTTCAGTGTGCAGGTTCTGTGTCTAATATGGCCCAATGCCTATTTGCTCGAACCCGCCAAGTTGAATCATTGGCGACTGAAGTCATAAGTCTCAAACAGGAGATTAGAGGGCTCAAGCATGAGAATAAACAATTGAAAAGGCTCAAGCATGAGAATAAACAGTTGAACAGGCTCACACATGACTATGCTACAAACATGAAGAGGAAGCTCAACCAGCTACAGGAATCTGATGGTCAGATTTTACTTGATCATCAGAGGTTTATGGGTTTGTTCCAAAGGCATTTATTGCCTTCGTCTTCTAGGGCTGTACCACGTAATGAAGCTCCAAATGATCAACCTTCGGTGCCTCCTCCTTCTAGGGTTCTGCCTAGTATTGAGGCTCCGAATAATCATCCTCTGGTGCCTCCTCTTTCTGGGGCTCTGCCGACTGCTGAGACTTCTCCTGAGCAACCTTTGTGAAGGCTCCCTCTTGT